CCGTCTTAGTGTTCTGGAGCAGTTTTTTACCAATTCTGAACTTCCCCTCTTAGACAATTCTACTTTTAGATTTCAGCGAAAGAGCACACAAGGCCAAGGCTGACGCATTTACAACACATGCTTTACGTAACAGAAACTGCACACACACACGTTGCAGGCTTCAGCAAGCAAAGTCCTCCAAGCATGCAATAAGTGTCACAGAGCTATCTGACTGTTGTATCAATTGACATCTCAGCTGCTGATAAAGTTCAACAGCTTGAGACACAGCCTCTTCCCCACTCCAAGGATAATCTCACCAGTATTCTCAGCACTGCAAGCCAGGAAGGAGATGAGGTGAGCTTAAATGCTTTTCATAAGCAAAAGGCACATTCCTTCTCTAAACTTGAAGGTAATACAAGGAATACAATCCTAGGAGGACAAGTTAGGCCACAGGATGCAACCTCCTGCTATCAAAGGCAAATCACATTTTACACTCACTGTACAGTCAAGTTTCATCTTCAATCCAGTTGGAGTTTGGTTGAGCTACACTTACTACAATGGTACTCCAGTACTTATCTCCTTAACACAACTAAGACTCCAACTGTCAGGTTAAGGCCATTCAAGGCCAGTTCACCTCATAAGCTCTTGTGTCAGCACCCTTCCCACACTGATTTTCAGCCATTGCTGGCCTCCCTCCCTCACATATGTACAGACAGCAATCACCTCACACCCAGTCTCTGAAAAGTATTGTCTGGATTCTTCTCACAAACAGAACTACTTCACAAGTTATTAAGCAGCTTGTTTGTATGCCAGCTGCACCTGCCCACCATGCTAGGAGATAAGATCTCACTGACCCCCACACCACATAAACAGGGAGGAAATTTGGCCTAAGGAATTGGGGATCCTTACTAAAAAGATAGGGCAAGAGAGAGAGAAGCATAAGAAGCCATAGCTTATTTTCATAACAATAATTCACCATGCAACTTCACATCTTTTGCTCGTTGACCAACTCTGAAAACATCAGTTTATAAACACCCACCTGGACTCTTGCTATGGACACTATTAAGGCTTTAAAACGGGTTTCCACCATCATACACTGAAAGGCCACGTAAACGTAAGCCTGGAAAGTCAGCTTTCCAGCTGGACAGATGACAATGCCATGCCTGCTTGATCACCAACACTTGGAGCTGTTGGTGACTAGCCAGCCAACCAGCTAGCCTTGTCCTCAATCTAAGCATTCTGGCAGGCTCACAGATTTCCAGTTCAGAGATTGAAACTGAGGGGAGCTACTCAAAATGACACTGCTCTGTTCACCATCCATCCTTGACAACCAGACAGGCTACATCACACTAGCTCTCTTTTCCCAACTGCCATCAAGCCTGTATCATTTAAGAGTGCAAAAAAAAGGCTGAAGTAGATAAGTCTTGTCCAGAGAACTAGTTCCTCGAGTTAAATAGTCTCTCATAAAGCTTCACCAAGAGGAGCAATTATCAGTTGTCTTCCATACAACTACATTGGCATAGCATATACCAGGACAAGCCTGACCTTCACCTAGACTGAATATCAGAAGGCGTATTTGCACTTAAAGTCAGAAATATCCAAAATGTTCAGGGGACACATGAAGACTGGCTACTTACAGCACCACAAGAGTTGGGGCCGCCATTGAAGAGTGTACAGGCAACCCTCACTACTTCTGCTTCCATCTTCCTCAAACCAGGGAATATATCCGGATGGAGAGGATTACTCCAGGCAAACTCTTCATACACCTCCAGAAAACAAAGACAGAAAGTTAGCCTTGCAGATGAAGCACTGGATTATCAGTGCAGATTTGAGAATTTACTATATGCACTGTATAAGCAAATTAGCTGCATTTAGTTATAACAATACTGCAGATCTCTTTGGACTTAACTCCTGTTGCAAGTAAATACCACAAGCCGGGAAGCTACAGCTGAGGGGTTGGGGGAAAAAAAAAAAAAAAAAACATTTGTTTTTCTAGGGCATTCTGACCTCTGGAGTGATTCTGTAACACAGCAACATTTCTTGTTTTAAAGACAGGTTTAACCATTGATCTGTTTTCTAAAAAGAACACAAAATGCACCCTATGATTTCTTTAGGAAAGGCAGGCCAAAAAGTTACTTTGAAGAACCAGTTTTCAAGTTTACTATTAAAGGAGAATTCTGAAGCAGCTAGAAAAGCACAAATGCCCACCCACACCACAACAAAAGTGGCTGTGGAAACCAGTATTTCATGCTTGTTCTGCAACTGTGGACTCACAGGATAAGGCTGGAACAGACCAGTTCCGACCTCCTGCAGTCAAGATCAAAAAGTGACTGCAGGGATGTTAAAAGAAATACAGAAGAATAAACCAGCGAATAATCAGCAGAGAGGGAATGTTTCCACAACATTCCATCCAAGCTGAGGCCCCCCTAGAAAGGCTGCTCTGAACTTCATGTTTCCCCAGAAGTGGCAAAGAAAATGTCAACACACAGAAGAAAACAGCAATAGCCACCACCAAACAGCACTCTTTACAGCTGTTATAAAAGCTTTCCCAGGAGCAAGAAGGCTAGACTTCCCTTGCTAGCAAAACCCCCTCTTGAAGTAGATATATTTGAAAACAGACCTTTGGGCTGTTTAGGTTATTTTCCAACCTTCTCAAAGGAAAAAGTTCCCGAGTAGGTAAACAGACCTAACAAAGACACCACTGAAGCATGCCAGTGCTCCATTGTTGGATGATTTTGATCACATTGTAATGCCAAAAAACATTTTTCAAACTTGTATTTTGCTTAAACCAAGAGGAATTTAGTATTGCTTAGTGAAGTTGTTCCAGTCCAAGGGTTCCACAGCCTCCCAGTAACAGGACAGCCAAAGACACTTTCAACTCAGCCCACAGTAAAGGCTGAAGTTGATCTATGGCAATTCTATGCCTTCCACCATTCCCCGAGTTAGAAAGTCAGAACCAGTTTCCAGTTCACTTGTTACCAGCTTTGTACCTTTTACATCTCATCTGATTTGATTCCAGTTATCTTTATTTTCTCAGAGACAGTCACTTGCCCAGGTTTACCCTGCCTAAATGCTTTGCTTAATACCCCTAAATTCACCTTCCACCTACATTTGTCCTAGGCTCTGTCTTTACATTTCAGCAGTCTTAGTTTCAGCTCTTCCCTATTTATTTTGAAAGATGCTGCAACAGTGTTGAGGAGTTTCCAGTCACCCTGAAAACTCTAAGGATATCTTCAAAGATGCAGTTATACCGTTTGCACTTTACCTTCACTAGCAGATGGGTGAGTTTTTCTTCACCACTGTACACAGTCCCAGAGACTTTCCCATCCTGCCAATGTACATCTCCTGAAAGAGAACACCACACTGCTTGGAAACACAGCCATTCGCAGAAAGCACATAGAATTGCACAGAGAAGTCCCCTCTGAAGATGAGGATTCAGCTTTTGAGATATTTCTGATGAGGAACAAGTATAATTTTTGTGCCACACAGATAGATGTGTGTGACACTAAGCCTCTGGCATCACATATCCCATGAACTTAGCAAACTGCAAATAAATGATGACTAAAGAAAACATAAACATCTCGCTGCAGCAAGCAGTTATATTAATACGTAATCCACTTAATACCCATTTAGTCTCCCCAAACTGCTGTCCAACCAACTGAACTCTAATTTGGCTAAAGCTAAAGACACTTTCAAAGAGCACCCATCACCACTGTAAGCTGAGAAGAGATGGGAAGGCCAAGCTTGCACTGCTAAAACCTACAGTGCTGAGCACCTCAAATTTCACCTAAAATGATATGATGCTGAAGCTTTAACAAATGAGAGCAGCTGGATGGAACAGCATCAGCAACACACTGTTGAAACGTGCTTCAGCCCCCTGTCCAATGTGATTTTACTTAAAACAAGTAGCTTTCTACCTCCAAACACCCCAGCAGTGTATTTCCACTTGTTTGGTTATTTGCTCCCCTCTCCTAACTGTTAGCCTTTATAAAACTCAAGGGCATCAGCTTCACAAGCATATACAATGTGAATATAGTCACAATCCAACCCTCATTTCTAAGGAGCTTTCAAAGGGGAGTGTCTGGGAAGGGGGGGGACATGGGAAAATTAAAAAGGAAAGAACCAGGTGAAGGAAGGAAATAATGATTTGAGGGAAAAAGCAGACAGATGCTACATAAAAGTAGAAAAGAAGGAAGTTGTTATAGGATACTTCACTACAAAATGGTTTCTGAATTTGGAGTAGATGCACTGTTCTAGCAGAAAATTGAAGATATTTCTCAAATTTTGAATAGGAGCAGGGCAGTCATATCTTCTCTGTACAGCAAATCACCCAAATTTGCTTATTGGGAGTAACAGGTACATAAACTGGTGTGGAGGTATTTACATGAGTGAGGCAACTCAAGTTGCAGACTGCTTATGAAGCTAGAAGAACATAATGACTCTGCCTTCCTTAAATGGCTTTTTAGGTGCAAACCATTGTGACTTTGATTAAGAGAGACAGTCTTGGAAATTCCCTAAAACTCCTACTTGGAAGTTTGTTGGTTGGGTTGGTTTGTTTGGGGGGTTTTTAATTGTGAGTATTCCCTGGAGCTTCACAGAAAACACGTTTCTGGTAAAGTCAAACATCAAGGCAACTCCTCAGAAACTTAATCAAAAATACATCCAAGTAACTTCCTCCCATCATGAGTCTAGTATTCTTGGGGTAAGAACAGAATTTCAATGTAAATACCCAAGTGCAGTATTAGAAGTCATGAATACTATTTCCAGAAAGAAAAGAGACAAAAATTTGCAAGCAAAGAACATCAGGGAAGAAATATTTACGATTAAACCATGAGCAGGAGTCATTAGAACTCATTTAAGAAGTAAGCCTAATGTCAGAGCTATGAAACAGACCCACCTCTGCTGCAGTAGAGACTCACATTCATACCTTTTGAGCTGTACTCTTTCATCTTCTTCAGTACTTCAGGCTGACTCATGCCTTGTTCCGGCAGTGCTTTGATATAATCCTTTTCATCTTTCAGGAAGGATAAACTGGAAGTGACATCATTCAAGGCTTCATCAATCTTCTTTTGAATCTACAAAGAAAGGAAAATACTATCAACAAAGGCACTGGACATATTATAAATAATTGTTGAATGCATGCAAGATTGAACTCCCTAGCTACATCCATACTATCGAGAGGAACAGACAGGAACTTTTTCATCTCTATGAGCAAAAAGCATAGCAGACTTCACAGCTACACAGTTCAACTTCCCCTTCCTACCAACCTCTCCCTCCAAAAACAAGCTGACTAGAATAGCAAACTGGCATACACTAGTCTCTAAACCACCCTGGGAATTCCCTGTGGGAATGGTAGCTGGTTTCAGCTGGGATAGAGTTAATCTTCTTCCTAGTAGCTGGTGCAGTGCTGTGTTTTGGCTTTAACATGAGAACAATTCTGATAACACACTGATTTTTAGTTGTTGCTAAGTAATGCTTACTCTGATCAAGGACTGTTGAGTCTCTCATGCTCTGCCAGTGAGAAGAGGTGCAAAAAGCTGGGAGGGAGCAGAGACAGGACACCACACATATTTAGAAACTTGTGAAAATAAAAGCAATAAAGAAATCTCCACTACACAGGAGATTTCTTTCTTCCCACCCCCACCTTACATTCAGGAGGCCCAGACTTCTTCTCATAACACATTCCAAAGTTGAGATTCTTCTTCCAGGCAACACAGGGATTGAGATATTATCAGCTTTAAAGACTTTTGGACATTGGAATGCCTCAAAGCCAAGGCCTTCTGTAAGCAACTGAGAGGTTATCAGGTATCAGCCTACCAAAGAGCAGGAAGAGTACAGAGATAGGGCACACCAGGAGTCGTCTGGCACAGGACAGCTTAACAGCTCTAGGGGTTGGAAGGTAAGTCTGAACAAAATAGGGATTGCTTACAAGGGGCCCAGAACTTTTCTAACAGGCAGACAAAAATACAAGCAGAAGAGAACAATTCATTAATTCATCTGATCAAAGGCTGCTCAAGTCAGAAGGTGAAAGATGGAGCACTTGATAAGACATAAAGAGGGGATGCAAGTCCCTTTCAGAGGGCTGGAGAAAAAACTTGACAACCACTTCTGTGTCCAGAGCCAAAGGAAAATGTTCCTCTTTGCTACCCTCATTTGACAAAATTGCCTCTAACAGATCTGACCCCCTGATTCAATGCGTAAATATGGCAACACATCAAGCAGAAAGAAGCACAATCAAGTATGATACCAGCATTTACTAGGTAAACCAAGCTGTGTATTTCTCAATCATTAAATCATTAACATGCTAAAACATGCTCATTTTGTAGTTTTTATGCAAAAAAAAAAATCCCATCTCCCAAACATTAAAGTTTGTCTTGTTTTAAGGATTACAAGAACTACCAATAACCTTGAACTATAATCCTAAGTATTGCTAATAGGTATCTGAGCTCTAAACTAATCACGCCAGTCATCTGATTAAAAAAATTGTCCTTCCATGTTGCACAACAGACACCTGGCTAACTCACACTTGCTCAAGAATAAGACAGTTCCAGAAACAACAAATTGAGTTCAATCCTGTCCCCTTCATTCATTGTTAAAATAATTTTCTAAAAATTAAAACAACAAGGAAATGTTACTAGAAAATTCTGTAACCACATTCACTGACTGTTTGTTTAAAAAAAAAAGTAGCACGCCTATTTATGAGAATGATACTATGACAAAAAGACTAGGTAGAAATTATATCTTGCATTAAACCGGGTGGCAGCAGCAGATCTATATCCTCAGATCACTGTAATCACAGTAACATGACAAAAAAGATGCAGAACTCTAAGTTCTCTGAGAAAGTTAAGCAGGCTGAAACAAGGACCTGGGATAATATTAAGAGAAGTAGTTCAAATACTCACTATAGCCCCGACAAATGGCATTTTTCTCAGTAGTTTAAAGAACTGTTTTTTAGCTCGGGATGCTAAACCTGAAAAACAAAGAGTCAGAAATTAACCTAAGATGACTCACGAAACAACAACAACAACAAAAAAAAAAACAGATTTAGACCACAATACTTCAGATACAGCCCATGACACAGGCTCGGTATTTCTGATCCAAGTTAAAATAACGCAGTGACCAAGAGGACATGGTGAGACAGATGAGCATAGCAAAGAGAGAGGTTCAGAAGTGGACCATGCTAAAGAAACATCTGGCTTGCAGAACAGCAGCCACCTATGGGAAACAATAATTTGACTCAGTTTTTTTACTAACAAGGGAACTTACATCCACATGTGGAATTTTACAGGAAAGAGACAGATTTTACAATTTGCTAAAATGAAGTTCTCCAGCAAAAAAAAAAGGAAAATACCGGTTGAAGTTATTTTCTGCCTCTTCAAACAAGAATAGTACTGTAACACAAAAACACTCAGCAACATGAGGGTCCCAGAACAAAGGAGGAAACAGTACTTCAGCCATAATGTGACAAGGATCTGGCTGGTGTCTGGCCATCCAATACTGGAAACACATGATGCAATGCGAGGCAACTCGGGGGAAGGGGACAGAACAAAGGGAAGAGCAGAAATTCCACCACAGCCCACATACTAGAATGAGAGAAGCCACTGATGACAAACACCAGCAAACCCTAGGCTAGGTCAAAAGGCAGGAATGAAATCAGGACGACACAGATACTTTATAGCCACCAAAAATGCATTTTGAGTCCTACAGGCATTTCAATTAAGCAGCAGCAGTTACAGGACGCTTATACCAAGAAATAAGTAAGCAAACTTTAAAAATTGACCACTTTAGGACTTTGCAATTTTATGTATATTTCCCACACACACTTCCTATATATTTTGAAATGCTACGTAAGAGCAGTAATTGCAGTGCGGCACATTCTGTAGCAAATACTCATTAACATTCTGACAGTAACATTTCTATTGCGTATTTCAGTGTGCACAGTTTTATTAAGAACTTCCACAGCGAGAAGACTGCAAACTCCTGAAAAATTCAGACAATCTAATCCAATCTTCTAGCACCTAGTCAACACTTTAAAAATACTGCGCAGCAGTACAAATACTAGCCAAGAAGCTAACTTAGTCCTGCACTGAGCAAAAGCTTCATATGATTTTGTCTCTTTCATAGATTTTCTCACTATTTAGTTACTCCCATCCTTAAAATTAAAAAGGCTGGTTAAGGAACAGAGAGGCACAGGAGTAAACATCAAGTTGAAAACTTCTGTTTTTAACAAACTGCTATCGGAGTGTAACCCTTAGGCGTGCAAGAACTGAAAGGCACCATGTTCTCCTCTGAGGGCAAAGTAGTTATCTCTGACCATCACACAGCCAGAGAAAACTGTAGGCTCATCAAAACAGATCACACTTGAAGAGTTGTCAATATCAGAAATCACTCAAAACAGGTAAATGCTCCAGGGATGTGAAGAATCCACACACCACCACCAGATGCAATTATCTTGAAGATCCTGAGGATGAAGCATGCCTTCAACACTAAATCAAAACCACACCTTCTCCTCCAGCAGGAAGGGAAGCAGTCAAGAGCAAGAGTTCTGTAGACGCTTTGTACTTATGACTCCTAGACACTTTGCATGTATGACTAAGTTCACAAGAACCCAGCTCTCATAAATTCCCCAGGTTTGGAGCAAGAAGAAAGTGTTGCAACAAGTAAATGGTTTAGCCAAACGCAAAAGGAAGACAAGAGGAAGGGAAGGAGATGCAGGCACATGCCGGCTGGCCTACCACACCCCCTAAAGGAATGGGGGTGTTTCATTGATCAGACAGGCTTTGACCTTAATTTGGAAGAGGTTTTTGTTGATACTAGTTGACAGCAGAAGGTCTGTTCTAACAAGCGTTGGCCTTGTTCCACCTTCTTTCCTTCTACTACTTAGGAACAACTCTGTTCCCCCTCTTACTTCCCTCCAAACATAATACCCCATTTCAAATACTTACTTTCAGACTGGAAGAGAAAGCCATGCAGCCACACACTTATAAGTGTAGAAGAAAGCGTCAACCCAATCAGTTGCCAGGGCTCAAGTCCATCACACTGGGCATTCACAAAGCCTGTTGCTTTCTCCCAGTACATCTGGAGGATTTCCTTGTATGGAGTAAGGGCATCCTGTGTAAAGCAAAATGAGAATGATACTGAGAAAAATTCAAATGCACTCAAACAGGGCATGAAAAAGGTCTGTGAGTCTAGCATCAGTTAAAGAGATGCTTTTCTGTATGCAGCCCCCATGCTTTCCTTAATTCCTGTAAGCAGAACAGGTTAGGAAATAGTTGGCACTCACTTCCAGCCAAGAGCCACTGATAAAAATACACTTCTTATATTCAGAGAGAAATGCAAAGGGCAGATAAGAAAAATGCAAGCTTCACAGTCCCAAGACTCATCATAAGATCTTACCATGATGAAGAGAAGCAACTGTTAATGTTTTTTTCCTAAGAATTATCAGGTGGTAAGTGAAGGCTTAACTACTGCAATACACCAGTCAGAAAGCAGTCACCATTCATCAGGTACCACCAAAACAGGTCTGTTACCTGTCTAGGGCTGGATTCTTAAAGATGCAAGTACTCAGCAACTCCTTAAGGTTAAGATCTAATTATTATTTTCCATGCAAAGGGAAGACCAAAGAAACAAACACTGCTGCTGCCAAAAATAAATAAATAAATAAATAACACACATAACAGAAGACTATGATGCAATAGAAACTACAATGTCAAATTTGCAGTTACAGTCGGGACAAAGCCCAAGTACCTCATTAATAGCTTCAAAGCACACTCTCTTGAGTCTCACAACAGAGCATAAGGGGAAAAAAAGGCTGTTTCCCCCAAAATGGGGGTCTTCAGTGCAATTCTCTGGAAAAAGTTTTCTAGAGAGAATGCAACCACACCTTATTTGGAGCTATGACCAAAAATAAGTATTCGGGTTGCTGCATTTTACAGACAAAAGCTTGTGCATGTTACTTCCCTTTTTTTAAAGCTCTTTCAGCCACCCCCAGAGCACTCCTCCAAACCCTTCTTCCCTTTTAACCTACCATCAAGCCTAGCTTTGCTGGGAAGCTTTCTGAGAGGGATCTCCAATACTACAAAGTTTCACCTTCCAAATGCCACAGAAAGTACACGGGGTCTTCTCAAAAGATTTGTTAATAAACCTTAGAAGGAATACACCCTTGATACCTATGTTGTCACACTCTTGGTGGGGTCAGAGCAACTTGCAAAGACTGCTATAAATAAATCACTAAATTAAAAGCTGCTAAAACTTTCCTTCTCAGGACCCTTTACAGATTTCACTTTTTTGTTGGGTTTTTTTGTTGTTTTGTGTTTTTTTTTAAGGTCACCTTTAGAGGTGCCATGTTATTCTAATACAACTGGAGAGGCTACAAACAGCCTTAAAAAAAAAAGTTCTTCCAAATAATCAACAGAAGGCAGGATTCCTTACAAAACCCCAATACTAATGAATATTCACTACTTTTGAAAAGCTGTAAAATGCATATAATGTGAGAAAGTTCAAAAATATTTAAGCAACCCAATCATAAAGCTAAAAAATCTCAGCAAAACAACAGTGTCAACACATCACAGAGGACTAATATCACCCATGTCCCAGGACAGGCTGAAGGGACACAGACTGAACTGGGCAAAAACAGGTCTGCTCAATGAGAAGCAGCACCCAGCTATGAGAAGCCAAATCAGCACCCATCCACTTGGCAAAGGGCAATTCAAGAATACACACCAGCTACTTCAGCCTTGAAAACAAGGCAGCCACATAAACCACTGCAATTAGGCAATGTCCTAGCTAATTCCAGTACTTCAATCCAGTCACCACAAAGTTGATCTAACCCTAGAATTTAAGGGAAGAGCTACCTTTTCCAACTAACCAGAGGTGGTACTTAAGTTTCATCGAGTTTGCACAATCTTCTTTGAAAAATCCCTGGAAAGGAGTGTTTAACCAACAACATCTTTGGTTCACTGCATAGGAGCTAATGCCAGGATATCATTCAGCACTTAAAGGATGGAAACTAATGTGTCTCAATAACTGTTCTCAACTGATGGGAAGAAAATGCTGCAGCATCAAATATTAAGTGGGTTGTGCTTTCTTTTTCCTGAAGGTGGAGGATACTATAAGCTATAACCTCAAAATCAAAATGGAACATAGCCTTTTAGACAGCAGTCACTTAAGTCAATGGTCAAGTTACAATACAATAAATAAATCTGGCAAGAGACTGATCTCAGTCACAGAGAAAGCTCTGGACAGAAGACCCTAGCCAGCTACAGACTTTGCTGTTAAATCACACAATCCCCGCTGAAACCACTGCACTCTTCAG